TGGGGGGGGGGGGGGGGGGGGGGGACTCATAGTCGTGCATGCCGTAGTCGTTAGACCAGTGACCTCGCATCCCTACAAAGACGGGACGGAGCACGCCGGGTTCTCACCGGACCAGGCTCTCACATCACCAAGCGCGAAGCGCCGTGAGGTATTCGGCGAGTCGCATGAAGGGTGAGCTGCATCCTGCTAAGGGTGTTCGACATCTTGTGCTTACTTCCTTGCGTACGGATGACAGCTGCGTATGACTTAATTTATTTTCTGGTGCTTTCACTTCCAGAGACAGTTGTAAGCACTGTGTAACTGCCTCGAGGACGCTTGACCATTTTAACACAACGTGGTGCGATCATCCCCCTTGCGCGGAGTGAGGGTTCTCGACCCCGCACAACATGATCTACTCGACCACCATTATGGTTACCGCCAAAACAAAAACCAAAGGTAAAAAAAAAAAAACGGTAACCTGGTTGCCGAGTTCACGAGGTGAATTGGCTTGTTTTACAACGTCGTTGCCAAGCGACGAAAACCCAATCCCGATGGCAACCATCGGGGGGGCGGCTTGTTTTACAACGTCGTTGCCAAGCGGCGAAAACCCAATCCCGATGGCAAACACCGGAGGGGGGCGGCTTGTTTTACAAAGTCGTTGCCAAGCGACGAAAACCCAACCCCGATGACAAACACCGGGGGGGGGGGGCGGAATGAGGGTTCTCGACCCCCCACAACATAATCTACTCCACCATCATTATGGTTACCAACTAAAAAAAAAACAGAGGCAAAAAAAAAAAGCGGTAACCTGGTTGCCGAGCTCACGAAGTGATCGGCTTAATTTTACCACGTCGTTGCCAACGACGAAAACCCAACCCTGATGACAAACACCGAGGGGGGGGCAAAAAACGGGGTGGGGGGGAAAAAAGTGTACCTTAAATGGAAGTACACTTGGTACTTGAAGCAGCCGTTCGAGCTTTCCACACCTCGGGGGGTGGCGTTAATGGACCGGTATTGGAAAGGTTGTAGAATGAAAAAAGGTGTCGGGTAGTTGTGTTTATTTCAGTGAACATTGGTCAGTCAACGGAGGGTGAAACCCCTCAGACCAAGATGCACTTGTGTACTCCTCTTCCCCCCTCGCGTGTCAGCCGTTCGGGGTCACTATTAATAGCATCCTTTGCTGTTTGTTCACACAAGCGCAACAACCGCGTATACCCAGGCTTGACCAGTGATCAGGCCCGTGCTGCTGCTGCTGCTGCTGCTGCTTCTGCTGCTGTGTGTGCGAGCAATATTCAGTATTTCCAGCAATATGCTAGTGTCATAAAGCGGTAAATTTGAGCAGTTCAAGTGAGTTACGCTGAACCAATGCAAAATTTGGGTTAGGGTTAGCTGTAGTGGTTGCAAGCTGTTGCTCGGTGTCGAACGTGCGATGCCATCTTTCATGCAGCTGTTTCACAATCCCTTGCTCGATGGGTTCGGGAAAAACAATCTGAAAAATTTCAAGGGCAACGAGCGCAGACTGGAAATACCAATATAGAATAACATTTAGTGTGATGAATTTGATGGTAATCAGTAACCACACCACCATGTCCCCTTGGGGCTAATCGACTTGGACCGCGCCATGAAAACGTCGTCATTCTCATGTTGTAAAGTGTGTGGTTCTCTAATTCGCACCGACCGCACTACAGTAACTACAGTAATTTGCTGCTCGATGGAGAGACGTTAGTCTTTGAGCGTGACAACATACGCGAACACATTTTCTATTCCGCGGACCCCACCTGCCGACAGTAGGCCACAGCGGAGGTTGAACGCGTTAACCGGCAGACAGTGAACAAGACGTGTGTGCGTGGTTCTGTCGTAGCTAGACCGCACTATCTGGTGGATCGATCAAAAGGCGCCAGCCAAAAAGCGGGATAAAAAGCAAACACGATTTATATCCCGCGGAATCTGGGACAGGAGGGGTGCGCGGGGGAGAATTGGGTTGTTACATGAACTCGCCTTGCTTTTTATCGTTACTCAGTCCGCTCTCCTGAAACACACACCGCCTGTCTACCTGTCCACTTGCTTTCTCTGGGCAACAGATTGAGCGCGAGACGAACGCCGTGATTGGGGGCAAGAACATCTCCGCGGAACGATCGGGTGGAGGGGGGATCGGATCCGGCGGGCCCACCGTTGCGGTGGTGAGCCTGGTCGTCGCTCTCCGAGGGGATGCGATGAAGAGGTTGGGGCTCGACAGGAGCGTCAGCAACATCTCGGGTGAGAGGAGAGATGTGGCCCGTTTTCTTGGAGTAGACGACTCATCACATGCGGATGTTTTACGTTCAAGTGTCATTTGTCCCTCGTCCTGCCCCGACATTTAACCAAGAAGGGCAAGCATCTCTACTTTGTGTTGACCAGAAGACGCCAACGCGCGTCAGGGAGTCCAAGCAAGAACGCAAAGCCCGACACGCTTTGCTGACCCCAATGTCCTGCAGGACAGTGACTCGGAGATAATTCAAACACACCAAGAACACGCTTGCATTTTGACGCACACAGGGAAAAAAACACGCGCTACATGCAACAAAAATGAACGCTTCCGGCTTTAAGTAGGTCGTTCTCTACAAACCAGTGTTTGTCCTGTTGCCGTCCGGTGGATAGTCACGCGTCTTGCACGTATTCTACACGATGCCACCACCTCGTTCAGCCGCTACCTCGGCCTCCTTGGCCTGACCCCCCACGGCTTTTGCCATTCAGCCACCGCGGTAGCGTTAACTTGTTATACGTACCCTTTGCCAAAATGCCTGTTCGCCTCCCGGTGACGGTGCCGTCCGTCTATCTTCGTTTTCTCGTACCCACAGATGGTCAGCCATTGATCCAACCGTACGACGAATACCTGCACGTCGACCGGCCCGCCATCCCCCCAACTCTAGTTGATGACCACCATTGTATCAATGCGACATTATCTCTCAACACTCGCAATTTCATGCAGGCCTCAAGACGGCGCTGCAGACGATCGCAAGCGGGTCCCTGTCGGACGGAGGAGACAACGTGCTGGCGGCGGAGGTCCTCTGGACGCCCGAGGAACCGTGGGAAGTGCTAACTAGGGAGGACGCAATCGCCGACTTCCCCGAGCTCATGGACCTCTGAGAGGACTGGGCTTTTGAGTCGACCTCCTGAAAGATGACAGGTTGACGTATTAGGTTTCGGTTAACGGTAAATCGATACCCTCTTCGAGTGATTTGTCGTCAAACGAGTATGTGTTGAGGAGCTGCATCTCGCCGCCCCCCTTTCCCCTCCCGAGCGTGTGTTTATCTTTTTTTTCTTGTCTCTCGCGTTCTCTTGGGTCCGTCGACGTTGCCGTGGGGGTAAGAACGGCCTGGCTGATATTTGGGCAAAAAGCTATGTTGCATCCACGCCCTTGTTGCTGACACGCCCCGTGTTCCGGCGTTACGAGAAGCGTTGGTTAGATTATCGCCCCGTACGTTGTAGCATGCGTTTGTTGAGGCGACTGTAGACCGCTCGTGCAGCAGTGCCGTCTTCGCGTCGGGTTGCGTCATATGATAGTCTTAGTGGCACGCGCTCTTGCACGGCCTTTTCCTTGTTGCGTCGTTGGCGATACCGCGCCCTTCGATCCGAGTCGTGCGGCATTTCGCTTTTGCAGCTGTGTCGGAGGAGAACAATGGACGGAATGTGGTTGATCTATGCAGCGGCCGTTGCGTAGAACTGCTTGTTTTTGGTTTGCGGGGGCGGTGGGGTGTATGATGGATACCCTGATAAAGAGTTGGGATCCGCGGCAGGAAATACTTTGGTTAAAGGATGTTGGGAGAATATTGTGCGAGATTTGTGTCGAAAATTCCACCCGCAGAAGAAAGAGGGAGTTTCTGACCACCGCTGCATGTACACGGGAGGGTGTCGCAGAGCAAAAATGATCGACACGCGGAGGGGGTGGAGACGCACACAGCCACCCATGCTTGGATTTCTGTGCAGGGGGTGATGGACGAACGGGATTGATTGTGTTTCCACGTTTTTGGGCGCACGTTGCGCGTGTGTAGCCAGATCGGAGCATGGGTTGCTGACGTGTCGACTTTGGTGTCGCGAGTGTATCCGCCACAGCGCCCACAGTGGCGAGGACCGTGTAGAATCTTCGCCTGCGACACGACGTGAGCGAAAGAAAGATTTGATGTACAGGTTTGTTTTTGTTCTCGTTGATTAAATGCGTTCTGCGACGTGGTGTGCATCGTAGAACCTGCCTGGGTGGCTGTACAAATGAGGATGAGAGATGAGAGGGAGGGGTGCAGAAAAGTCAGAGATTGGGTGTAGGGTGGAATCTCGGGGATAGATGTCGGGGGGTCGTGGACATCGGAAACGGGGAGCATCCGTCCTTATTCTGCCAATCCCTTCGAGTAATCAAATTTGACAAAGTGATGAGCTGATGAGCTGTAGCCCGTGCTCGCGCCCGGCATACGTTCGCCCACTTGTTCCGTGGCGAACGTTGCTCTGGGTCTCTTTTTCTGGGAAACCTTGCGGCCTTAGGGTGTGTGAGTTCAATCACTCCCGCGAGAACTCGAGCCGTTGTCCACACGCAAGACACACCAGTTCATGCAAAAGATAGGGGGGAAGTCGCGACGCAGGCGTTTTACGAAAGAACACCGAACACACCGTGTGACCAGCCGCAGGCGTTTTTTGCTCATCAGCACGGTACGTCGGTATGGTGAGGAACATTCACGTATTCATATGCACACCTACCAGCGGGTAAATACAGCATCATGACAGCGCAAGGCATGGGACTCAAATGAGAAGGAACCACTTGTGTTGCAACCATCTACGTACAACACTGACGGCATAAGACAAAAATCGACGAGAGTCGCTGTGTTGCTTGGAAGCCCAGAGGTGCATTTTCCTTCACGACCGACATGATGACGGCCGTTCCCTCGGCTGCAAAAAGAGGGACGCTTGGTACGTCATGCAGCACTTGATTTACGACGGAAATTTGCAGACACCGCGTTAGGTTAGCGGTTGTCGTCCGACGACAAGGTTTTCGAGTGTTGCTTACAACAGTCTTATCAGTTATATCTTTTGGTCATACAACCATCCCACACGAGGAAGGCCGTTCGTTCGCATTTTGCTTGCAAACTAACGTCAGCTGGCATGAAAGAACCTACCTTGGCCTCAAACCCCAGAACGGTATTCTGCCGACGACAGCAGTAGCATACGTCGATATAGACGGTGCTTGTACCGTGTCGAGTGTACCCAAGCAAGTTCTGAGAGTAAGCCTGTGATCCCACTCTTTGAACACTACACCCGAACGTACACGATGCACGCGGCAACAACGCAAAGGACCACCGGCATTCATACGTCTCCTTCTCGGGGAACTATTCATTGAAGCTGCTTCTGTGCGGGGTCCCTGCTGTGTACACCACGCAGACGAACGAGACATATTCATTCGTCTCTTAGCGCAAGCGTCACTATATCTTCGCCTTCTCTTGCCCGCCCTTCAACGGCAAAAAAACTTAACTGCGGAGTGGAGGTTTGTACGAAAGACCTTCTTCCTGGTACTACGTACAGTCCTGTTGAATCTTCACAAAGGATTATTATCGGTACTCCTAGTCTTCTACGCGGCTCATTCGCGAACAAGTGGAAATACTGCACAACACTTCATGCGAGGTTCGTCCGGCTGCTCAACAACAACGACAAAAACCGTTCGCGTGGTCTCAGCTCAACGACACACCGCACGCAACTGACCGGCACTACACATGGGCACGACAGCTATTGAGACATGGAGTGTTTCGTTTTTCTCCAAAAATGCTTTTTACGTCATAGTCGTCGTCGTGATTGTTGTTGCTTCTTGTTGTCGTCACAGTAAAGCCCGTTGTGATCTCTGCTCATCATGGTCTTCCCCAACACCCACCCGTAGTGGTCCACGACTGACTGACGGTCCACAACTGATCGATGCGGACGCCCCCTGTTTTACTACCCAAGTATGCGAAGTTAGCGGTATATTTTTGAAAATCGTAACCAAATCGACAAGCTGGATGAAACCAGGGTCCAATTTATCGCTGATTTTTTGCCTATAATACATCCATCTGTCCGTCACTTGCCGGTAGGAGTTACATGACGGGGACATATAAGCTTCGACTCCAAATACTGATTCGATCTCAGTCGGACGCTCTCTCGAGTCAGATCTGCTGTAGTGTAGTGGCGACAAACAACTGAGCCGTGACGTCTTCTGCCGAGATCAATCAACTGCAGTAGTGAACAATCTTGTGGCTTAGTGCATAGCCTGCGCGAAGTTCTCTGGACTTGTGGGTGTCACAACCCCAGTAGGGTTAGACCCGTGCGTAATTGGACCATTTGAGGGCGTTACCTGTCACGTTCTTCTCACTTTCCTTCGAGCTGTCTTCAGTACGTACGGTAGTCTACAAAGGACATGAAGAGCCTCGTCGATGATCGCGGGGACTGATGACCGGTTCGTTATCTATCTCATACTTCATGAGGCACTTTCGAGATGGACGAACACCGCATACCCTTTCGGCAAAATAAATTTCGCCTCCACAACATGTAGTGCAACACTTGTCATTCTCTGCTCGGTTTTTTAATTAGTACACTGCCACGGACAGATGTGCTAAAATTAAAACTGGAAAATGATGCTCATACTTGACACCGGCAGCAGCGCATTTTACTACTGCAGATAGAACAGCGGAAGCCCCCGGCCTCGGGAAAATTTTCACCAAGCTACCACGTGAGACACGTGGGTTAAAATGTCGAAGCTGGCGTTGGCGCTGACCTTGCACTCATATTGACCTAAGTGAATCTGTTTGTTTATAGCTAGGCCAGGAGCAGCCTCCGGTTGTGAAAACACAATAAAAAAAAAAAACGATGACTGCTGAGTACAACTACGGAACAGCTAAATCAACAAAATTCACTACTCCCGGTAACAACACTGATTGCGAACGAACCTGATGGTGAACGCAACAACAACGATACAACAAGCTACTTGTATGAAAAAGAAACGCTGGATCACGGAACGATAACCGACGGTCGCGCATACGGAAGAGTCGAACGTTCGTGGGTATGTACATGAAGATTACAAACTGAAGCCTCGACAGCTAAACCACTCGTAGTGCACGGTGGCATTTTAGTCTAGTGCTGCGAGATGGTCGCACCCACCAGAAACTCGTGGAGAGCTGCTGAGACGGATGTGGGACTAGCGCGGCGGTTGGGGAAAAATGCTGCATCCACGAGAGGGAGCGAAGAAGCTACATAAAGCCGTTGACCACGATCTCAAGGTTGCAGAATGATGGCTGGTGGACGGTGGAATCGAACGATACAGGAACCTCAACCAAGCGCCGCTGAAAAGAAAACAGTCGTTTTCACAGCAAGAGAAACAACAGAGACCACACAAACCAAAACAGCAGCAGGTACAACGGCTTGCGTTCCCTCTATTGTCTGTTTCCACCTTCCTCCTTCGTTCGGTGGTGATGCGCTGGGAATGAATGCATCATCACGCACGTACCATGTCCATCACACACCCAACATAAAAGTTCATAGCGTTCCCTCGTCATCCGCCGTTCGTTTGTGAGGGGTAGGTTTGTATTCTATGGAGGATATATGTAGATAGGCATCCGCGACCATACACACACACGTGTTGGAGACACGATAGCTATTCGGAGCTCTTACCGGGGTGCTTGTATCGCTCGCCACCACGCGTTCTCGACCAAATCACATACAAGTATGGTAATGGCTACCCGCCATCAAGCAGCCGCTCAACATCTCAATAACTTCAATACTTTGAACAGCAGTCTCGACCTGTCCGTTACTGATCATTCCCGACATTAGCTGGGGGCAACCAGAGGAGCGTCGTGAAACGCCCTGCGGCAGTCGCGACAGCTCCAACAACACGAAATCCGAGGTGCTGGTTTGTAAATAACGCTTCGCTACCAACATCTGTTTTAAGACATCAACCGTCGTCTCTACTTACTTACGTTGTTTTGAAAGCAAGCCGACGATTATCGTCGGCGGGCTAAAGTATGCAGACATTTTTCGAAAGAAAAATATCAACAACTATCCATGCACAATCCAGCAGTGCCGGTACCGTTCATGTTGTTGTTGGACACCACGACTGACTGAATTTATTTCTGTCTGTATTGCCCGAACAACAAAGACACGACCTCACGCGCACAACCTCAGAAGAACAGTCGCGACCGGCCCTGAGCAGAGAGACAGGAGAGGGCACTTCTTACACCCGTCCATGCGTATGCATGCACGTTTTGTGGCGAGGGACTCCATGCTGTCAAATCTCGCTATTCACGCTCGCTGATGACCTGTCGAGTACGCACTATCTCACCCGAACGAAGGAGACCACCACAACGCGGACCAGTACTTAAGTCCCTCTCACTCGGCAGAATAAAAAACGCCCGGGCGAACTGGCATCATCATTGACCTACAACAACGCAACATCATCGTTGACGTCCTCTATCCTGCTCGCCGTTGCAGAACCAGCCAGGCGGTAGCCACAGGAGGCGGAAGCTAGCGACAACCAAAAACCAAATGACAACCAAAAACCAACTAGCTGGCAAATATAGAATACACATTAGCACCACGGACAAACTACCTCAACACGCCTACCGTCCGTGTTCACCGCTACACGATGGGTGAGTGGAGAGGACCCCAAAAAACACAGCATGAACAAAATAAATCAATAAAACAAGCAGGAAGAAAGAGCGAGAACAACAGGAGAGCGAGCCAGTAACGACAAGCTTCAGTAAGAAAGGCGGAAGATAGCGCAGAAAAAGTACGCTCGCCGCTCTGAATTCCCGGAAGATGTCACATAGGCATTGCAGGAAACAATTGCCCATTTCCTGGCAGCGCCCATCGTCCCGCATACAGCGACCGGACGCACGGGTTGCCTCTTTAGTCAGCAAGAAAGAAAACAATCAAATCGGTTCTCGTTGTTGTGGGGACCCCAACCGTCCGTCGAAACGCGAGAGAAGAGAGCGCAGAGAAGACAACGCAGTCACTCTCTCTCACACCCTCTCTCGTCCCTCTGACCGTCCCTCTGACACCGTCCCTCTGACCCACCGAATATCAGACATGTAAACAAGCGTAGCGAACGGTAATATCGGATGCACTGATGCTGTAGTCTCACCAAGCAAGAATCAACAATAACTAGTCTAGTCTACCGTCGCTAGATTTGTTGATGGTGCAATGGTGACAACGAACAATACGAACATAACTGTAGTATAGTCTGGCTACACGACAGGACGAGCTATGTACGTACGTGCTACCTCAATACGCCGTCCGTATTAGATGCGCACTTCTACACGAGCAAAGCATCGACCGATGTCATAGCTCCTACTGCGTGTGTACATGACATTGACAATATCTCAAGTCAATCAAGTATTACGCAGCAAGACCTGTGAGTTTCGTGTGTATGCGGCGGACCGTCCGTGTTGTTTACCTCTTCAAGTGCTGCTTGCTGTTCATGGATGAAGACACAATGAAAGGAGTAGGCGACGCGCATCGCTACCTACGCGAGCAATAGCGCCAGAGACGATGTAGCTTCGCAGCACATTCCGAGCGTAAGCGGCAGCCGAATGTTGTGTAAAAAACGGTCACTCAGCAAGAAGAGCAAAACAGAAAAATAAAATATATATAAATATTGTGGCGGGCAGCACGAGGACCCTCTTTCTCTGTTCAACCGGCCGTTCCCATTGCGAAATGCAACGCCTTACCTGACGACGTTACTTCTCAAGACCAAAGAAATCCGGGCGAAGGGTGTCGTCGACAGCACCCAGCGTTCACCGTTTCTTCGCGTTATTTCTTCCTGGCTGAAACCACGCCAGACTACCCTTCAACTTGAACCATGCCACAATTGATAAGGTCGCTTCAATGAATATGATGAAAAACCCGTCCCCCATACGAAAAAGCTGCATTTCTCACCTGTGCAGAATTCAAGTAAAATAAATGTTCAATTTGAGGATCATCTTGATAGCGTCGAAGCCCTCCTCGAGGAACCCACGCCACATCCACAAAACGTGATTTACACCGACCAGCATCATTTCCACGAACCACAACCACAGACTGTTCCTGACTGACGTCCCCGGCGGACGCTTATGAATGTACCCAATATGTTTCACTCCGCTTGTCCCCTACCGCGACCCTATAACCCTAATCCGCGCTCCAATGGCTTGGAGTACTTGAGAGGGTTTGTCGCTTGGGTGGACTTACCAAGTTTGGTCAAAAGCCTGACAAGGCCGACTCGCGATCGCCCCGGCGTATTTTTTTAACAAGCAATTCGGTGCTGCGTGGGTATTATAGAAAAGATCATACACAAGCACCTACAACAATAAGCGAAGGCCGCCTGCCGAAGTGTTCACCAAGATGAGTCAAAGGTGTCACGAGAACTGCGGTGTTGCATAGAGAAAGCGCTAACGATGTCTTTCGCGAGCAAGACGCCGCTGCGGCAACCGAAACATTACTAGGCGAACATCGCCGGGGCAGCTCAACCACCAAGAAAAAATTCTTCGCCATCAGCACGAAAAAAATGTACAAACGGGCGTCAGGGACTGATGTCTATCCACCTGCAGGGTCGGCGACCGGCCAGCCAGGTCCAGCAAAAAATAAAATGGCTATTTCTGGCGAGCAACACTGACCTACAGACGTACTTGTTTCCACAAGAGCAACAAGAAAAAACAATGCAAGGTTTAGAGCGCTCCCTCCCAACCAGGGAAGTCACAACATCGATGCGAAAATCAAACATCAGTGGCACCACAATGACAAGTAAACACATGAAAACGCCGACTGTAGATGTGGATGTATATCAACACTACCTCAGCGAGCACAAATGTTGCCCATATCGGGGAAAAGAACACCGACAAACGAAAAAAATGATGCATGTACCTTCCACTCTCGCAAGGTATGAGTATCGAATGGGGCCGTTGAGAGAAAAAATGCATCGTCGAGACAGTCCTTGGAATCTGAAAATTCGACGGGTCGTCGTTGAAGCCGGCTTTTGCGAGTAGCACGGCGTCATAGAGACGACTTGTGACGGGTATCTCCACCGCGACACACGAGTCAACCTAGTTACGAACCAACCAACCGGTGTCATGTTCTTAGACTCGTATCTGCAACCGGTGTCTTGTTCTTACAAAGAATGTGGGACTCGTATGTGCAACAAACTGCCGGCTTCCCGCTCCGAAAGGATCATCTATTTTATGCATAGGCATCTCATTGCACCGTGCATCCATTTTCTTGCTTGTCTTCCCGCTTCACTTCAGTCTTCTCTGCGAACGATTCTTCCCCCACGCGTCATGAAAGAAAACTACCCACCGAGATGAATACACGAAAAGGGTACAAGGATACACGGCATCGGGTAGTTCCGTACACTCAAGGCCGCCAAGAGCAATCAGTTTTTTGTGTACTACAAGCCCTTGATGTAAAGGGCATGAAGTCGTTGATTTCCACTGGATGCGTGGCATAACTACCTGCAACGTGAACCGTTGGACTGCGAATGATTTGGCTCGAATCGCACCAAAGGACTAAAAACTCCAGAATGCAAAACGACTACATGGTTAGCAAACAACCCGCCTACATACCCTACTTGGATGCGCTCGCTCGATCCCGCACTCCTACTTTTGTGGTATCATATAACCCCCCCACCCTCTGACGGCATCGTAATGCGACGTCAAAATCTCTCGACGAAAGCCTTAATCCCTTTGCCACACCCTTCGACAGGCGTACGTACGCATTGCCGGAGAGAAGAGGCACATATCGTATCCCTGCGCAATATCACACTGCCAACAGATCGCCCCACCAAAGCCGGCATGGCCCCTCCGGTGTGTCTCAAAGCCCGTTGAGACACCTAACCAGCACGATTACCCTCAATTCCAAACCCTCCACATTCAACACGAACCCCCGCGCCGTCCAGATCGCCTGCGACTGCTTACACCTTCCACACCGCCCGCATCGGCTTGCCTTCGTACCCTTCACTAGAACGCATCCAGAGTGTTACCAGCGGTTGACAAAAAACACTTGCGGGCCGCATCGCCAACACTCCTCGCCAGAACGGATCCAAGTACTCCTGAGCTGCTGCTCACACAATCACGAGAGCCTGGCAACAACCACGAGAGATTGGTGAACCAAACTTAACTCCATCCGCACAAAGCACGAACATGAGGCTATTGTTGGTGGACTTCGAAAATGCACTCGTGTATTATATAAATATATATATATCGTGCAACAACACCGCAACCTACAACCCTCCTCGTCACTTTGTTGCCCAACCGAGTACCCTATCTTACCTTCCTGGCCACATGACTACGCAATCCTTGCTGCAATAGAACAGAGCAGAAAGGTGAGTAAAGCTAGCGACCGATATCAGAATGGATCTCATGGCTGGCTGCACGAGAAACATACCGCCGCCGCCACCGCTCCCTCGTACAGTGTCTTGAGCTCCCCCGTACAGCGTGTTGACCAGCGAAAAAAACTGTTCGAAAATCTAGCCGTCCGGAACCCCCTTCGACGGCATACACAGCGATGCTCGCACAAGAGAAAGTTGCAAGCCGTCCCAATACGGCACGAAGTTCATGCTGCGTTCATACGGGAGCCCAAACGGCTACAGTACATCATGCAAAACAACTTGCCCAACCATGAGCGCTCATGGAACCGGGCGCATAAAGATGGTACTGCCCCCGCCTCCCCTCCCCCCCTCCCGCCTCCATCCCTCTACCACAAATCAACAGAAAGAGCGGCCACAACTTGTTGACCCAACAACGTAAACATTCGCTGAATAGAATTTGGACAGACAACCCAAAAAACGAAAAAACGTACCAAGACGTGCAACGGCGTATATCTCAGGACCAACTTTGAAGACGGTCACAAACTCATCGGAGCGCTCTACCCTGTAACCGTCGCTACCATCTCGCGCTGCCGGCCACAGCAGTGCACAAAAAGTGTCCTAGGTTCAACGCTAGCGTCTCATCAAAGATTGGGATTGGCCGAAAAATCAGAGTGCTCTGACGCATAGCCAAACCAGCCTTATTGAGCGATGATGCCATGGAGGTAAGTCCTTTTCTGTGACAAAACAAAAAACAAACGAATCTGCACCCGCGAGCAGGCGGCGCCAGGCGAAATTGGGTTGACCTCCTGCGCTAGTATTGCTGTCCAACGTGCCCCCCGAGTACAACAACGGCGTTGCCCCCCTCCACGCCTCACTCGAGAAAGAAGGCCTAGACGCTGCACTGCACTACACTATCCCTTCACCAAACTACTGCCGTGAACGAACCACTCAACGAACGAGTCACTACTGTTGAGCGCGCTCGTGCCTCAGTGGGTCGTCTCTCCCCTGGAAAGGACAAGAACAGAAAACTCGCGAAAGGACTTGGCGTCATTCATTAGCCCTCGTACATCCTTTTCAAAGCCGTGCCGAACGCAGCCGAAACAATGTACATGCCATCTCTCGTGCTCACTGCCGGCGCAACCCTGAAAGACTGCTTGCTACAAAAAAAAAAAACGTTGAAAAAATGCCTCCCCCTCTCGCCCGCTCATCACCCTTACCCTTTTACCAAGCGTACGATCCTTGCCCGCCGCCCCCTCCCCTTCCCGGTGTTTCGGGAGCCGCGTACTGCCCGGCGGAGGCGGCATGAGAACCACCGTCGGTGTAACCGCCGCCTGATCCTCCCGCCCCGCCGCCGCGCGCCCAGAACTCGGCGTCACCCTCGGCGCCGCCTTGGGCGTAGCTGCCTTGGGCGGCGTAGCCGCTAGAGCCTCCCGCGGCACCGCCGGCGGTGGGAGCGTCGTACGCGCCGTCAGCCTGGCCGCCGCCGTACCCCGACGACTGCTGGCCGGCGCCGCCCGAAGACTGCTGGTCCGCGTAGCCGCCGCGGTACTGACCCCCGGCTGCCGCGGAGCTGTTGTAGTCCCCGCCGCCGTTGTTGTCGGCGTACCCGCCGCTACCCTTCGTCCCGGCGTCGCCGCTCTGAGGCCTGCCGCCGGCGCCGGTCTTGCCGTGCGCGTCGTAGCCTTGCCGCTGTTGCTGCTGCTGCTGATGCTGCTGCTGATGCTGCTGCGAGCCGTAGAGAGAGCCTTGGGGAGTCCTCGACGACGCGTCCTGCGCGTACGTGCCGCCGGTCTGGTAGGCGTCGCCGCCGGTTGCGCCGTAACCGTCGCCACCACTCGCGCCGTTGCGGCCGTTGTCGTAGCGACTGTCCACCGGTCCTGCATCGTACCCGCTGCCCGAAGCGCCGGCGGCGGTGCCGTAGCCACTGTCGGCAGCCTGGCTCGGACCTCCTGCCTGTTGTCCGGTGCGGCCGTTGTTGGGGTTGCCGCTGTAGCCCTGGTCATACCCGGAAGATGCGGCGCCCTCCGCTCTGTAGCTTCCCCCGTCTCCCTGCTGACCGTAGCCGCCGCCGCCGCCGCCGCCCCCGCCCCTGCTGCCCTCCGTTTCCCCCTGGTAGCCGTTTCCAACGGCAGCGGGGTATCCTCCATTGTCGCCGGTTCTGCTGTCACCGTAGCCGGTTGCGGCCTGGCCACCCGACCTGCCCTGGTCCGCCCCCCCTGCGTACTGGTCATTGTTCCCTGAGGAAGCACCGCCGCCGCCGCCGCTGTGTCTGCCACCCCTGTTAGCCCCTCCCGAGTTGCGGTAACTGTCCCCGCCGTCAGCGGCAGCTCCGCCGTAACCGTCATCGTAACCCCCGGTCTTACCACCCCGGGCGGCACCGTCATACTCAGCGCCGTACGCGGCGTCCCTACCGGCACCGTTGGCCGCGTACCCGCCGTGGTCGGCCCCCGACCCTGCTCCACCGTACCCACCACCTTGACCCCCCCCGTCATTGTACTCTCCTCCCCCTCCGCCACCGCTCGCGGCGCGGTTCTGAGCGTATCCCCCTCGGCTATCGGCGGCACCGTTGTTATAACTGTCGCGGTAACCTCCGGCCCCATCCGCCCTCTCCGCGGGGTAATCGTCGTACCCCCCGCCCCCGCCCCCACCGTAGGCATCACCACCATAGTTACCACCGGAACCATCAGCCGGGATGGAAGGCGTGTTGTACTCGGACGGGCCAGGAGGCCCGCGCCGCTCGCCTATACACAAAACAAGTAAAAAAAACAGCACAAGACGACACAAGAAATAAATCAAACGCGTACAGCCAAGTCTAGCAAAGTGTTTCATTGAGGTAAATTAATGTACGAACGTGCCAGCTCTCGAGGTCTACGGTACACACAGACGATATTCATCGCGAAAGGGTACAAGCAGCGATCAAACATGAAGACAGCATCGGCGTGAAAACACCCATTAGCGTACTGCATACGGCAAGTGAGGCCAACCAGAAGCAACGATCAAGCACAAGCACGGTGCAGTACGACACGCGAAACGCCTGGCAACAGCAGTACTGAGGAACGAACAAGTCTTGATAGTTGCACAGCTCGAGGGAGGGCAAGTTGCTACGGATACTTCAAGTGTGTAATAGCCGCGGCTCGCCAGGGTACGACATAGGGGGAGGGGGGGGGGGGGGGGGGGGGGGAAAACGGGAAAAGGGCCTTCCCCCGGCCCAAAAAAAAAAAAAAAAAAAAACTAAAATTTTTCCCTGCCCCCAAAAAACCCCCGTTGAAAAAAAAATCCCCGTTACCTTTTTAAAAAGACGGGCGGGCCCCCAAAAGAAACCAAAGCCAACCAAAGGG